AAAACGGCTTTGCTGTTGTGACCGTCTAAAAAGGTCTCAGTGACTGCCCAGGGCTAACATGTGCCACAATGACATCCTGAGACCTGCTGATTTTGATAACCATTCTCAAACACAGTTCTAGGAAATTATAATTTACTGTATAATTTACTGTATAATGTCCTGCTCCATTGGGTCAGGACAAACTAGTTTAGAGGGTTAAAAACAAGGCCCCTCAAATCTCAGCAGTTTAGACAAAAGGTTTGTTTCTTACTAATGACATGCTTCCACTGCGGGAGAAGAAGGGGTCGGCTTACCAATCATTCAGGGGCTTAGCCTCCGGGGGCAGCCCCATCTCAAATTGCACCCGTCACCATGCAAGAAGGAAAGTGAACCCTCCTGATGGTCTCACCACAGCAATTAAATAGTGTAGGAGCAATAGAAATGAATTATGTCCACAGTCTGCTAGTCGCGGCTGAGTGTGTGCACGTGTGCGTGCAACTGGTCACACACGGGGTTGCAGGAAAGCTAATGTGAACTGAGCGTTTCTGGTGTGCCAGAAACCAGCTCAGCTTTGCATGCTGCTTATTTATGCTTGCGACATTCCCACGGGGTAGGTTCTAAGACCTCCTTTCTTTGCTCAGGAAACCAAGACGCGGAAAGGCAAAGTGACGCCAAGGTCACACTGGGAACGGTGCTGGACAGGTACGAGGCTCTAGAGTCCTTGACTCTCCTTCTAAGTTATACTGCCCTTAATGTTTTCCCTGGTCTAGACAAATGAGAAAGATAAGAACTTCGTCGTGATGGTGAACTTAAAGGGTCATCCTTTGCTGTACCATGACCCTTTCTTACTACGTTAGCACAGTCTTTCCCCCTGTGAATTAACAGCAGCTGCTTTTCAAATTATTGGAAAAAGGAAAGAGAACTGTTCATGTGAAGTTCCTCCTCCTCCTCCTCCTTTTTTAAAAAAATGATTAACTGTGTTAATTTTGACTGATTAAAATTTTAAATCCGTGAATACTAGTTTGGGTTGTTTAAGTTCTCGACTTAGATTCAGCCAAATTTTGGTTATTATCTTCTGGACACTGCTCTTACTTTTATCTGTCAAAACACAGTGCTAATTTACTGTGTATTACTTCAATTCCATCTATGGGACACTGGCTTCCCTGTGGGAAGATTAAAGCATGCATTTCCTTTCAGTCTAAAGGAAAGATCTGGAACGTGGTAGCCTCTATAAGAGAGCCAAAGTAGTGGACACGAGTTAGTTTCTGCAAAAGTTACAAGAGAACCAAACAAGCCAGCCGCCAAGTTTTTCTCGGGCTAAATGTCATCACCAAATCTCTCTCTGCCGAGATTGTTTGACAAGATGTAGTGTTCCTCCCAGAGCAAGGAAAGCAGCAGGCAGACGTCACCAGCCAGGATCTGGGGCGGTGCCAAGGATGTGTGCCTGACCGTGAGCAGGGCCCACTGGCCAAAGGCCCAGGCCTTTGAGCCAAACAGCAGCTTCATTAAAAGGGACACGCGGTGGAGACATGAGCAAGCTGTTCTGAACTGAGTATTTATTAGCCCGCCTTGGAACACGGAGCTGTGCAGAAGAGTGCTCGGTGTGAGCAGGTGCCAGGGAGCAGACTTGGAGCAGCCAGCAAGCCTTGAGGAAAGTAAGGCCTTTTAAGTGCCGTGGACCAAGAAAATGCTCGATACTTTTGATAGCAACTTAACTATTTTCTGACAAAAGAAAAACAGAAGGAAAAAAAAGTAAGGAGAAAAATCTTCAATGTTTACACAATTTCTTTGTAGCATGCATTTAAATTCCGAGTCCATTAGATCTTTGTCAGACTCTTCCTTCTGCTAACATTAGCAGCGGTTTCCCTGGCGGACCAAATAAGAACTAACTGTGGAAGTGATCGAGAGGGCGTATCATCTCAACACACAGAAGGGAGGAAAGGGTCTCTCCTCATTTGTAATCTCTGGGTTCTGGGTGGAAAAAAACTAACCGTGAAAAGAAGATGACCATTTGAATATCAAGATAACTTTAGAAAGAATCATAAAGTGACTCTCTAAAGAATTCGACTTCTAAAACTCTGAACGCGATGGCTCAAGCCTGTAGTCTTAGCCCCCAGAATGGGGGCTCAGGCTAAGAGTCTGAACCCAACTTGGGCTACATAATAAAATTTTCCCTGTCTCAGAATAAACAATAACAAAAGATGCACACACACACACACACGTGTGTGTGTGTGTGTGTGTGTGTGTATAGAAATGATTTATAACTGAGTTTAAGATACAGATTCAAAGAGCCTGAGTCATAGACTCTTACTTAGCATTTATAAATCCCGGTCTTTGAAATGACCGCTTGGCTCACTGTGATTTAAGAGGGGAGTCAAAGTGTTGCTAATCACTTTTAAGGACCTCACACACAGCCAGCTTCCCCAAGCTGCTTTCACCCTCCACTGCCTGCAGGCAGGGCTTCAGTGGGTCCGGGCCAAGAATAGGAAAGCAGGGAGATTTCAGACAGCTGAGTTAATACCACCACATATAGAAGGTGGAGAATGTGTTAGGCCGCCAATAAAAACCATAAATCACCAAGGGCAGAAGAGCAGGTCTTCCTGGAGAGGGGGAGACAGTAATGATGTCAGAGCTGCTGAGGACCCCTGGGCAGTCAGAAAGGTGAAGGTGCAGACAGGAGCTAGTGTCTTAATGGCAGACAGAAGCAGAGGGAAACAGTTTCCATATTAACACTTGTGCCAACCAATACACAGGTCCGGTGGTGGCCAAATGCCCATTTTGTGTAGAAACCAGAATAAGCCAGCTGTGCCAGGAATATACAACCCTAAACTGACCAAATGAAGAGAGAGGTGCCAGGCATTTTAATAGCTTGGGGGTGGGGGAAACAACATAAAATCAAGTTCTAAACACCGACAATACTCAGGCCTAGGTCAGTTCCATAGACCTTGTGGTCAAATGATCACTTTCTGAAGTGTTCCCTACCTGATGTTTTAAATACACACACAAATATAAAAAGTGACATACTTCAAATGCTATGAATATGGCTGGGATAATGGCAGTCTGGCTTACAACAATGGAGACCGCCTGAATACACCAGCTCACTGAAAAAACAAGCAACGAAAAAGCTCGTGCAAGTGGAGGGAGCTCGGTGACCTTTTGGAATAGGAATGTCTCCTAGGACTTGGAAGCAAAAGACAGCGATCCCCTCTCCAGTGAATGTAGCCAACTGTAGAAGGCACTCCTAAACCTCACTAGGCAAAGGAAGCCTCAGTGAAGCCGGGAAGCAGTCCAAGGGGCTGTTAGAGGCTCCTGGCCACAGCACGGCAGGGCAAGGCGGGAGTGGTAGAAGTGTCTAAGCAAAGAGCAAATCTTCGAACCTTGCCTGGCAACCCTGGGCTCTAACTCATTCCCACATGGCATGCCCTGGAGAGATTTACGCCGATTCACTAGACGTTCATTTTCTCAAGTCGAAGGATAAATAAAAAGAAAGTAAGGTGTCTCTGTGCTCTCCCAGCCTGACTTATGTGACTACCAGGATGCAGGAGCTACTGGAAAACCTCACAAAGTGAGCTTAATCTGGAAGCTGGCTCCGAATCGTCAGGCTGCACGTTCCGACGACCCGAGCACTCTTCCCGTGACCGAGGAGATCCAGCTGGCATGCCACCACTGAAGATGCTTTAATTGTTTCCAGAGTGCTCAGTAAAATGAGTAAGGAAGCCACAAGTGTGGGTGTTAATGAGTCACCCACTATCCTTATGCTGGCCTTCATGGGACCACACGTTTCGGATGGCTAGAGGATATGTACTGATAAAGGTGAGGGCAGGCAGTTTCTTGTTGTTTGTTTGTTTTGCTAGCAAAGCACATGACGGCTGCTGGAAAAAGAAAGAGTCCCACCCTTGAGGGTACCTGCACCCGTGTGCCCGTACATACACACAGACACACACATAAATAAACAAAAAATACTAAAACAATGAATGCTTAAAGTGCAGTGACCTGCCTTTCTCCTTTCCATTTAGATGGATACCAGCAAGACAACTTTGAGGAGCTGACAGAAGTATGGGAATGCTGGGAAAACCATCAAAGAGAACGGGAGCAGGGGGATGCATAGAGGTGATCCTGCCCAGGGCCTGTTAGGATGCGACCAGAACGAATGGATCATGGGTACGGTGGCTCAGTAAAAGCGACTCCATTGGGGAGAAAGGGAAAAAACAGAGCACAATTCATTTAGGAAAGCTGCTTCTATGCTATAGCTTGACACCAGATTAGTGGTTCTCAACCTGTGGGCCACGACCTCTTTGGAGCAAACCTCTAGCTCCAAAAAATATTTACATTATAGCTCATAACGGTGGCAAAGTTACAGTTATGAAGTAGCAACAGAAATAATTTAATGGTTGGGGCTCATCACAACATGAAGAACTGTATTCAAGGGTCTTATTGTAGGAAGGTTGCGAACAGCTGCAAGAGATAATTCTTTAATTGGAGAACTCATTCTGCACGTGGAAATGCTGAGCCCCCCTCCCTCTCTCTCTGAAGCTATACATAGAATTTTTCTTTTTATTTAATTTTTTTAAAAATAAAGGCTTTACTGGTATTTCTATACACATATATTATAGTCATACACACATGTATACATGTCTAGGAAGATGTACACATATTCATGCATGTGTATTCAGGTGTTCGATAAAGAGTATCCTGTAGTCCAGGTTAGCCCAGACTCTCACCCTCGCTACATAGCCAAGGTTCCCCTTAAACTTGGGATTTTCCCATTCCCATCTTACAGATATGTCTGCTTTGTTTTTGTTGCTGTATTTTTGTGTGGGATGAAGGATACTGGGTTTGGGGGCAAGACAGAAGAGACGATGGGAAGAGAATAAAACCAGCACAAACAGACAGAATTCCTGTAGCAATGCAGGAACCAGTGCTAATCTAGAGGTCCCAGAACTGAGATGATGCCTTGGAGGCTCTTTACCCTCTCAGAGAGGACCCGACAGTCAAGCCCCATATGACATCCCAACTCTTACCTTCCTTTTGATGTCTGTGAACTGGGAAACCATTAAGGACCAATAAAACGACAGCTCCAGGATGTAATAGTAGTGAAGGTCAGCAGTGAGGGGCTGAGGGGAAAAGGGAAAAGGGGAAGATTAACAGTTAATGGGAAACCCGCTTTGTATCCCTAAAGCCATAAGCTAGCTCACTGCTAACTGCTAACGCAGTCTTATGCTGAACACACGCAATTCCCTTGGTAGACGGCGGCATCTCGGGGTTGCTTATAGACTACCGCTTGATACCATTAGTTTTATCTCATCTCAAACCCAGAAAGCATTGGCTTGTACGGCAGCTTGGGATCCTATTCAATGAGTGTAACAATAGCATCTATGGTTCTTTCCTATATAGCAGCTTCGAGACACCTTAGGCAACGCGGCACATGCCCTAACACACACACACACACACACACACACACACACACACACACACATAGCAGCCACCGTGAGAGTTCAAAGCACAGAACAAGGAATGCAGGTGGGAGGGATGTGTTCCATAATGGTCAATGAAACAGAGGTTCAAGGTCTACATTCATCAGAAAAATTTTTTTTTTTGGAAATGTTCAATATATTGCCATATTCAAAACAAAGGGTTCAAAAATATTTACTTAAAGATCAGAGGGACAAGGAGGGTACAAACAGACACTCGAGTAGGCAGGCGCTCAGCCAGGAAGTCTGAGATGAACGTCCAGCTCTATAACATGGTAGTAAAGTTACTTATAAAATGGTAGGACAGGGGACTGGAGACAATGCCTGTTCTGACTGTCTCAGAGGCTCAGAGAGACAGCAGAGTCAGCAAAGTATGTGTTTTTTACACAGACACACATACCACATGCACACACACTACATAAAAATCAAAGTTTTTTTCAACAACATGTTGATGAGTTATTTTTAGCTTTTTAAAATTTGTTTTTTTAATTGAGCTGGAATGAAGTGTCTTGGCTTATTGGAGAGATTAAAAAATTATCTCCGAATCTCTTCGAACACATTCACACCACTGTTCAGAAGGCAACAGTCTGTAGTATAAAGGAAATGAGTGTCGTATGCACCATATGCCCACATGGCATAGTGAATGCCTATCACAAGACGGCTCTTACTCAGTACGGGCACCAAGGAAAACTATGTCTCTCTCTTATATTTCCAACAATGAACATTACAGGATAAGTAAGATATTAGTTTGGCAGTTTTGAACTCAAAGAGACAAAGAAAATTACTACGGACTGAATTCTAGGATCTCTACAAACCAGTGTGTTGAAGCCTGATATCCAATGTGATGGAATTTGCAGGATGGGCTGTTGGGCAGTAATCAGGGCATGAGAGGGGAGCTCTCATGAACAGAGCACAGTTTCTTCCTGTGGAATGAAAGCAGCATCCGTGCTCAGGGGTACCTTGAAAGAAATCTATTTCCCACTGACAAGCCTTTCAGATGCCGTCAGCAGCAATGCAGTCTGGGAAAACAGGGCCCTGGCTGGAGCTTCTGAGCCAAGGTCAGACTTTGGTGTTGATGAGATTCTCTGCCTCCTGGCATCATCATCTGGGAGAGTGCCTCCGAAGGTCACAGGACATGCTAGGTCACATCTAGACGGGCCGAGCTCACGTGCGTGTGAGCACCCCAGCAATCAGCACCCATCCGCCACTCTACAGTTGGTGAAACACACCCATGTGACTCGCTCTGAGCATCCTGAAATCTGCAAAATTACCACTCTCGTTCCTCGTGTAGATTACAGAGCTGGCAGAAAATTGCTATCAGTTAATTCAGGTTTAAAGGACACAGCCAGGTCTCGTGGCTAGGGAGGCCCCTGACCACTACATTGCAGCCTCTCCTGCCCAGTGTGTGTTCCTTGTAATGAGCTGTACAAGGGCCAACCGCATATAAACCTCAGGCTACTTTAATCTTTAAAACACATACCCATATAAAACTCTTACATGTGGAACAAATAGGCACACTCACATAAAAGAGGATGTGTGTTTAAAGTTGAAGCAGAACTATTACTTTTCACTGAAAAAAAAATCTATCCGGTTACTTATGTGTTGAAGACAATACATATTTCATGAGCATGTTCAATCTTTAAAAGTGCACTGAAGGCTTGAGAAATCCGCTCTCCCTATTTATATACATATGACTGTATGCAAAGCATTTTACTTGCATACATGTTATTTAATTTCCTACACCCCCTACGCGAAGCAAGCCAGTAATTTTTATTAGCATGTGGCACTTGTGGAGGATAACCACTGTTGCCATGAGAGACCATGAACACTTCTGAGATCTGGGGACCCCGAACTGTATTAGTCTTACCAGTTAGAAGACAATTCTTGATCCAAATCCCCACAGACCGGGTACCTTTCTTTCCACCCTGAGGATATTTTCCACTTTTAAATTTAACCTTATCTTCTAGCCCCTCAGACTCTCATGCTAAATCTATGGTGCTGTCTATGAAACAGCCCACGGCTACATTCTGGGCCACAGTCCTACACACTCGGCTCCAACCAAACACCCTCGCAGCTGCATTTTAGAACGTGAGAGTTATTCTGGGCTACATTACAGTTAAAGACAAGGTTAAGTGTTACATTTTGTATGACATTTGTCTCAATGCCTTTCATTGTTGCAGAATTTACCTCTTAAACGTGGGGCATTGTAGCAGCTGCGGTGCCAACATTCCAAATAGATTTCCAGAAGCCTTTAATACCCTTGTCTAAGTAGGAAGGGAGATGCTGAGACGCACGCAGACAGGGGAGCGCGGCTGGGCCTGAAGCAACTGTGTCAGGTAATGGACTGGCTTCCACCTTCTGTCAGTCCCTAGTTATCGCAGGAATTCTCAGCTTCCTCTAACTATGTCCTGCTGCTTATGGAAATTCTTTTCTAATCTAAATAAATTAAGGAATTCAAATGCAAACTGGAATTCCATTTCAATGTGCCCTTACCCTTGAAGGAGTAACCAGTGTCTGCCTCTACCCACGGCAGCTCTCAGGACAGCACAGAAAATGTGGACTACGTGTTCCCTATTAACCCTATACACACAGGAAGTCTAAATGCCTCTAAAATGCAAACCCCAAGCTAAAAATAAAAATGAAGGCGCTTATTACAATACCTAGTTTCATTTGCTTCCCTTCTAGGACATATCTTGACAAACTAGAAAATTCCCCGTTCTACCTTTGATCTTTTATATTTTAATGCAATCAAAATTAATTGCTCCAGGGGTGACAAGGACTTGTGCTAATCCTACTGAATTCATGAGGGGATGCAAAAGTGCAGCAGTGGGCAGAGAGGGAAACCCTCCCCTTCCAGGGCTATGATTGCATTTCAGTTGTCAAAGATGGTGTCTCCTTTTCAGTTCCAGAAACAATTCATCCAGGGTAATGGCTTTAGTGCAGTTTTCTGCATTGGGAGAAATGGTGCTTGATTTACATATTTAGAGGCTACTTCTAAGCTCCAAAGTCAACAGAACTCAGCAGGCCAGCTCTATGGCCACCCTGAACATTCCTACTTGCTGTGGAGGCAAACCCGCCCTGCCAGCAGGCCTTTCTTGACTTTCCTCTGTACTGAGAACCAGGAACCTGTCACCCACTGAAGGGACTAGATCCTGTTCTCCAGCAAAACAACCTTATATATTTATCCCACCTGATAAAGCAACCAGACTTTGATTCGGCACTTCATTAAGAACACACGAAGCCTTGTGTTCACTAGGTTATGGTTGATGTTAATGAGCAGGTGCAATACCAAAACGAAAGTGGCTACTCAACCAGCTGCATTCTGCATGGCACAGGAAGATGACCTAGGGAAAATTCCCTACATCTGTAAACCCCAGAAAGTCAGACCTCCTTACCTGGTAGGGGTAGTTATACCAGCAGTGTCTTGTATTCCACAGCCAAGGGGTCTGGAAGAAAAAAAAAAAAAAACAAAGAAATGGACTTTACATGCTTTAGAACTGTTAAAACATCAGGAATCCAACCACAGTGCTCTCTGGAATGGAGTTCTCTCACACCCGGAGGTCACATATTCTGTTGGTCGCTCGCTCTCTGTATTCCTGCAATGTACCAACCTCAACAGCTGTGCTTCCAGGGCTGGATGCAAAACATCCGTCTCACGTATGGGAAAACAGGGCTAACAGTTGATACAATCTATCCTGGAACTCCCGGGCCTCAATATTCATTCTTTGACCAAGGTTCCCCGACACGCTTCACTTCAGCAAGATGGCTCAGAGGAATCCCCATGGTACCCTCTACCTCCCATCTTCTGGTCCAAGTTTCTAGGATAAATCATTCTTCTTTGATGGCAACTGTTTGCCTTATAAAAGCATATAACTTCAAAAAAAAATCTAAGTAATCACACAAATTCCAAAACCTTCAATGACCAGAAAAGAATTGATGTGAACTGAGACAGAGAGCTGAACCATCCAATAACATCAGGACCAACATCCTCACATTTTTCTATTAACATTCTCTGTTTGAGTTTCCGCCAACTCTGTAGCACCCATCCCTAGGCAATGATATACCCATATTGTTCTGGTGATTCTTCTCCCCGATTGTCACTCCTGGGCCACACGATGAAAACGACTACTTTCTGGTGGCTAATATTTGTTAGGCCTGCCTATGTCTTACACATTGTGGTGGTACTGATGCAAAAAACTCATTGAATCCTTACAATGCTATTGATATTACTCTTATTTCTTTCATTAGGTAAATGCAGGCCTAGGAAGATCTTCCTAGGTCACATAGGTCACACGGTCCAGTAGTGCCTAAATTGCAATCAAATAGAGACCGTGTGGTCCCCTGCTGACATGCAGTCACTATGTCCCGTCTGAGTCTGATAAAACCGAACTGCATAAAAAGGGCCCCCTGAGGGAGCACATTTTAAAATGTCTGCGAGTCTCTGGATTTTCTCCCTATTTAAGCACCCTTCTTTCTTTTGAGAGTTTTGCTGTTTTGGGTTCTCATTTGCTATTGGTTCAACGCTACCCACTGCCCACTCTGTGTGGATAGTGTCCTTGAATTCCTGGGGGTCTGGTCTGTCTATTTCCTCCATCTCTCTTATCTAGACCATTGATGGTTACTAGTATGGGGTGTGTGGTGGTTTGAATGAGAAGGGCTCCTATAAGCACATAAATCTGAATGCTCGGTCTCTCGTTGGTGCCACTGTTTCAGAAAGGATAAGGAATTGAGTGTGGCTTGGCTGGAGGATACGCTGGAGGTTTGGAGTTTTCAGCAACTCACATCTGACCCAGTCTCTCTCCCCCACCTCTCTGCCTCCAGCTTAGAGACCACGAAGTAAACTCAGCTACTGCTCCACCCTGCTTTCCTCCACGATGGCCAGGGACTCAGCCTGAAACTGTAAACAAGCCCTCCAACTAAATGCTTTCTATTATAGTTTGCCTTGGTGTCTCTTCACAGCAATGGAAAACTAAGACAGGGCAACAACGAAGAGCGAATGAGACCGAGTGTATAGAAACGCTAGGGCAGCTTCAAGAGCTCAGCAAGTTATTCTGTTTTCATGTCATGCAGGCAATGTATGTTCATCGAAGAACATCTGGAGAGCACAGAAGAGCATGAGAATACAAACAACTTGAGTTCTTGTTAGCATGAACATTTTAAATGATAGCACATTTCTGGTCTTCTTTCCCTATGTGATGTAGATATAAATATAGATTTATTTTTTTAAATACACACATATAAGCATGTTTTAAAAGTGTGGGCAGAGCATAACATCTATTTTAAAGCTCAGTACAATGTTATTCACTACTTTTATCTCTAATAAAGTATCTCCATGCTTAATTAATGGGAAAGTCCCCAAGGGAAAAGGATGTCGTATGTACGTGTTGACCCCAGACCCCAGCATTCGCGCTCAAGTAGATGACAGGTCAGCATGTTCTGAATGTGAATGAAAGGAAATGTGAGGCCTATAACAAGCCTGGCAGAGCTTTCAAGTCTCAAGCCCCCAGGGCACAGGGCATCTGCCCCTCAGGATGTCACAGGGATCTCTTTTGTGGCCATCATCTCCTGTCCCTTACCTGTCACAGGTAGGACGGCAGATGCAGAAAATAGTCCTGCACCCAGCTTTTCTTCCTCTCCCACTTTCTTTGTGTATTAGGTTTTATTCTAAAAATTGAACATTCTCCCTGGATACATAGGACATTCAGCATCTAGACCCACATCTCTTGTGGTCCTGCCGACTGACTGTCCTGTGCAGTGGACACACGTCTATCTCACACCGATCTCCGCCCAAAGCAAAGGCAAAGGACTAGCCACTGTAGACAGGACAGAGCCACCAGGACCCCAGCTCAGCTGGCCAGCTGTTGACTGAATATTGTAACCGTAAGGTTCCTCCATGGGCAACACAGCACGAGCTATTAACATCACACTTCTACACACATGATGCCCCAAACACTGTGGCACAGGCAGATCAAATGTCTTTCCCAATTCACAGAGGAAACAAAATAGAACTCCGCAGCAAAAGGTGATTCTCTTGGGCTTAGCACCTTTTACTTTTAAATTTAAACCAGAAGTGCTCCAAAATCCAAAACCCTAAAAATTCAACAACTTTACAAACATGACAAAATTCAAAAATAGCCCAAATCTAGGCGGATTGTGGACTGCACTTTCAGAGAACGGATATTGGCTTACGGCTAGATACTGGTATATGAATCTGCAATTTATAATAAGATTATCTTATATGTGACTTTAATAAAATATTTATTTTATTTTATGTGTATATGTGTTGTGCCTTCATATGTCTCTGCACCACATACATGTAGTACCCTGGAGGCCAGAAGAGGGTGTTGGATCCCCTGAACTGGAGTTGCAGACTGCTGTTCACTGCCAAATGGGTGGTAAGGAACTGGACGGGGTTCTCTGCAAGAGCAGCAGGGGGCCTTAACCACTGAGCCGTCTCTCCAGCTCCCGCATCTAACTGTTTTAATTAAATGTATCCCATGAAGCTTTTATAAATTCCTGTAATCAATTTCTCCATTGACAAACTTTTAGTGCTGCTCCCAGGAGCCATGCGTTATTAAACTACGATCTGGTCCCAGGCTTGCGTTACTTCCTTATGAATTGTTCAGAGTCTAGTCTCTTACCATGGCTCTTGGTAGCCCATCAGAACTCAATGGTAAGCCCCTGTTGCTGAAGACACCACTCATCTTGGTTGCAAGAACAAGAGAAACCAAGTCGGGACTAAGACGAATGCTTTCTCCCTTCTGGGCAGCATTTTCCATGTTCAAAGGGACTTTGCAGGCTCCCTGGGAGAAAGGGCATCGGTATGTTTACCTAGCAGTGAACCACCTACCAGATAAGATATGCCCACTACTGCCAAGTGGCTCAGCTGTTGTGGTGGCCACTGGCAGCTCTCTGATTGGATTTGAGTCCTGTTCCACAGGAAGGCATGGATGTCTGGTACTGTAAACCTAGTTAAAAAACTCCCTGAACATGACTAGAATAGTCATGTTCTAGACTCAATGACTACAATAGCAATATATCCTGAAAAGTGTAATTGTGGCTCTTAAATCCTAGAGAGCCATCGTATTTGATGTTAAGGTACACTCAACAGGAGAGAGAGAACTCATGCCTCGTACTGTAAACCCGGTTTACTACCTATGGCTGACGAGGTCAGGGACCCTAGAAAACCTAATACTGTCACTTCCTTAAATGAGTACAATTTCTATATGTACTCTTATAGTCACAGATAAGTGAGGCTCTTATCCCTCACCAAAGCTTGAGTTTGCTTTGGACAGAGACCACTACAGAAATCCACAACTAGTCAAAATGAAAAAAATTGATTAATCGTGGGGTGCTCAGCCCCAAATTATACATCTACAAGACAATCCCTACACCTAAGTTTAGGGAACATCCCAGAAGAGGGCACAGGAAGGCTGTAGGAGGTAGAGGACCAGGACATCTTCTGAAAGATGGTGTCTTTTCATTCGACAAGGACGCTGCACCCAGGAAATGTCAACAACATGGCTACCTAGATAAGACCTGTACAATCAGAACACCAGCCTACCTCTCAGCATGGACTGGAGAAATTTCAAAAGGCCCCATACCTAGATCAAGAGCTACAAGCAATGAATGGCCTTTGGGGGAGGGAGAAACAGTCTTCTCCAGGGACAAGTGCCAATCCTAAGTGAGCAAATCTAAACACTTATCCAAAGGAACTACACTAAGAAGATGCATCAGCTGTGTTTATAAACAAACAAAAAGTATATATGTGTATAGAACATTAAAGACGAATAAGGAGCCATGAGAATGGGAGGCATGGGATAAGTTGCAGGAAAGGAAAGCAGGGGGGGGGGAGGGATGAAGTACAACACTCATATAAGAAATAAAAAAAGACATTTTTAAGAAGGTATGAAGTTAGAAATAAGACTGGGTGGGAGACATTGGGGGAACTGGGGGGGTTGTGATGGATGAATATGATCAAAGTATACTATATTAACGTATAAATACATTTCCAAAGAATAAATAAAGGTATTACTTTTAAAAGGCTAGGAAACGTAGGAAGTCCAGTAACTCTCCATGTTTATTGCTTTGGTAGCGCAGGAGCAGCAGCAGCCTCTTCCTGCTCCACACCTGTCCACGTAAGCAACGCTATGAAGCCCCGTGCAGACTTAAGGTAAACTCATGCACATTATCTCATCTAATCCGTACACAACTTGTCAGTGATCAAAATAAAGCAGCTAGCAGGTGCCTGCCTTAAGAGATTTACAAAGAACGTGGCAGCTCAGAGCTCAATACATTGCTGAAAGACAGCCTGATTCAGTACATCTGGCTGAGGGGGAGTGAAACTCTGCATTTCTTGTATCCCAATTGATGCTGGAATTGTTAGATCACGACCCATACTTAGAAGTAAGGTGGTACAGGATGCTAAAAAGGCTGAATCTAAGCA